AACCGGCCCAAAACAGATGGTGCAGCCATGGAGGGAAGCGGGAGGCCAGAGACCAACAGCAGCCCAGCTCATGCAGGGAGCACGAGGCAGAGCATCAGCCCCCCCCGCCCAGATTCCAGCCGTGACTGTAATGTAAAGGACAGTGACTGTAAATGAGACAGTTGGGCTATTGAAGGTGAAGTGCACACACAAATATTGAAATATTAATTAAAATTCACCCAAAAAGAAATATTTTCCTTTCTTCACTGAAGCTGCTGTGATGGCAAATTAAATAAAAACTGAAAGAGAAGGTGAGCAGGAAAAGCCGGGACCTGAGAGCAGTGACCATCCCATCAGTCTCATGCATTAAATGTTACATATTTCATACAGAGCTTCCAGTAGAATTATAAGCATCATATCTTTATAATCTTCTAGAGCTCCAACCAAGAGAAATGTGCTTCATGCGGGGTGTGATGATCCCCCGTTTCTGCAGAAGGCCAAATAATCAGGACCACCTGCAGTACCGAAGGAGTTTCATCAGCCAACTGCTTTGATACATGTTTTTTTTTTTTAAGGTGGAAAAAATTCAATCACAAAAGGCCGAATCGGCTGGCACAGAAGCAGCCCATTCTTTACGCGTCTTCTCTCTGAAGAGAGCAGGGAGGCCCATAGCTGAAGCGAGGGGTCCGGAATATGGGGCGGTGCGGGAGTCTGGGGTCCACCAGCCACACACGAGCACGGCTTCATGACCGTCTCGCTTCCGCAAAAGGTAACGGATTTATGGGCGCGGGTTCAGCGAGGAGGGACGTATAATCTAGGTGGCTCATTCGGGGGGGGGGGGGGCTAAAGAGAAAGAAGGAAGGTGAGATAGGAAGGTGCACAGATGGGGTCATACAGAAAGGTACACGAGAAAGAGCTGACCAAATCCAAGCTGGATTCCCAGTGTCCGCAAGCCGACTCCACCAGCCACCACGCGGGGGCTGCTCTCCTGCACGTCCCCATGAACCTCTCAAAGGATGGAGGCACAACTTTTTAAAGCCGGGACCTTCCCATAAAAGGGTGGCTGACCATCAATCATGGAAGCCGCATGTGCCTTTCCTTACGTGAGCCACTGGATCAGCAAATTAAAAACGCTCAGTCGGTTTTGGTCGAAAAGCTATTTAGGATTAACACCACAGTTAATTTCTCCTGAAAATCAAGGTATTGAGGTGTGTGTGTGTGTGTGTGTGTGTGTGGGAGGGGGGTATTTTGAAAACAGTTTTCTGCTTGGTGGCACAGAAAAACGTGAGAACATCATCACACTGCCGACCTGGTGACACAGGTCTGTCTGCCTTCCCCGGTGACTTGCAGCCTTCAGAATGCATTTCAGTATTTACTCAAGCGTGCGGACGTTTCTCCATACTTATCTATGCTCATATGTCGCATACAGAGATCTAAATATGCTAAACAAATGTTATCTTTAAATATGTATTATTTAACTGAGTATGTCAGAGTCTAGAGACTCTTCAACGGGTCACTTAATAAAGCGGGCCAGGAATGGAGGGAAGGTTCATTTTAAAATATCTCACGTCTTAAATGGGAAGAGTGCGCTCTGCTTGGTACTGAAGCCTCATGGAGATTAGCAGCCGGCCATTGTACTGAAATGCCACTCAAGGAGAGACGGCACCTTTGAACGTCAAGCCAGCCCGTGACGGGATGCCCGGACGCTGAGGTGCTCGGTACCCCTGCCCTGTGTGATGAAGATGCTAAGGTTTCCAGAGAACTGAGAACTTAGCTGGTGAATGATTAAAAAAACAAGCACAAAGAGATACCCTCACAGTCTCCTCACTCCATCTTAAAGCATCTTCTTTCTGTCAATATTCCGGATTTAAGACACAGCTAAGCCCTGAGGTACGTCCTGGCAGGTTGCGAGAAGCTTCCTTCCACCTTCACCGGGCGTCACAACCTCTGCATTCAGGAATCTCCTGGCTCCTGAGGACCGGGTTGGGAAATACTGTAATCTAGATGGACTTTGCTGCTGGAAAGTCAAAAGGCACCTTGGAGAGACTGTGCTGCAGGGCGGTGCTTCTGGGTTACCCCCCATGCGGGGTGCATCACAGTGGAAGGAGTACGCACCAGGATGTAGATGATAGATGGGCGCAGGCCAAGTTAACATTTGGCAGAGACGCACCGCGTGTTGAGTGTCGAACGAGAGCATCGCCAGTCTCACGAAACGGGCCTTCAGACAAGGCTTTGTCCTTGAGGCATGTTTTTCTGTCAGGCGAAGATGGCTGAACTCCATGCAAGTGATCAGAGGCCTCCAAAGATGTTCCACAGGCAGATCAAGAAAACAAAATTAACTGCCTTGATCATGAACATCACAGTTCCCCCCTCCTCTCTCCCACGGGAGATCGTGGCTCATGCCAGTATGTCATTCAGAAACTAATGATAGCTTGGCTTTACCGCGCCTTCATGGGGGCCATGGAATTCTCTGCACCCTGAGCAGGCAAACAAGGATTTGGGAACGGAATGCGACTTACACCAAAATCCTGTGATGCAGTGCGCTGATCGTGGAGCGTAAGAAATGGAATAATCCGATATATCCAGCGTCACAAAAGGCCTGAAGACTGGAAGTAATTATCCACAGGCTGCACTGAAAAGATGCTTTCAACTTCCAATACACATTAAGGGGAGGCTTTAACGCTCATGTGTTTCCGTGGGACAGAACAGCGGCACGGTGTCTCATTAAGGGATCAGCGTCAGTCTCGCATCCCTGTGCGACTCCCGAGCAGCCCGTTCTTTGTTTATGTTTAATAAATCTCATTATTCAAAATGTATTTTGGCTGCTGATCTGTCACTGTCTTCACCACCACTTTAGTGCTCATCACTTTCATGAAAATACAAAACAGTAGCACGAGGCGTGCTCTGCTAACCGAATTTACGCCAAATTTATAAAGATTACTAACTTTAACACTACTAATCTGCTTACCAAATTATGGGCATAAATAAACTTCCAAATAGTACCAAACAGCCGGCGCCCAGACAAAGGTTTACGCCAGTCATCTAAAGCCCTGGGGATCGCAATGTAATGTCATGCAGCCTTACTTGGGCAGGTCAGTACCCGCCTGTTTGCAGGAAGATGCGCTTCCCCCTGAATCCGTGAGCATGCCCCCTACATCACTACAGCCTGTACACAGTCATCTCCACTGCCTCCTTACCAGCCACAGTAATCATGGCCATTTACCCACAAAAGTCTAATCCTATCAAAAAAAAAAACACACCATTACACCAATTGCAGAAAAATTGTAAAAGGGACTAACAGCAGTCATTTTCTCTTTGGAAAGATTTTTCCCCGCTATTACAGCAGCAGAAGTTTTAACTTGATATTTTGTTGCTTGGTTGGGCAATACTGGCTCATGCCACATCTGACAACTGATCATCGGCCAGACAGCTGACTGATGCACAATAAACGAGCTGTCAATAGGGCGATGCCCGTTCCTGATTGTGCCAGACAACCTCTTCATACATCACATGAACTCATGTCTTCAAGACATCAGGGATCTTGATCTGAAGTAGACTTTGTTGATAGAATGCCAACAAACAAGCTATTTAAAATACAAAAAACTTGGTTCAGGCTCCCAGCACCCTGGCATGACTGGGTTTTCTGGGATAACGTCTAATCTCATCCCCACGTGAGATGCGATCTGTTGTTGAACGAGTCTGGGGGCTCGTGACGCGAAGAGGAAATGCTTAAACTACACCCAACGGATCATTTGGGAGGGAAGCTAAGGATTCCGAAAAAGTGCCTGAAATAATATCAACCTTCAGAGAAAGGAAAAATGAGTGGTTCCTCAGATGCAAACAACTTGGATAGGGACAGCAGAAAGGGCTGATGTGAAAACAAGCTGTGACAAGCCACTGGCACTCTGGCCCAAAAGAGTCACACCTGCCTAATAATAATAATGATAATAACGGTTATTGATTCCTATGGGGAAATACTCTTTTTGCCTACCCTACCTTGCTCTCCGTGACAGACACACACACAGATAGTTTGGCAGTAAAGGGAAGCCACCTCCCCTGATGTGACCATTCTGCTGAGGCTGGACTCCAACTATAGACCTTCCAATCACAGGAACAGAGCCTTAGCGCTCCAAACCACACGCTGCCCCCCCCCCCCAAAAAGCACTGTCAAAGGCAACAGTGAAAAACCCTATAGCCCTAGAATTAAATGGGGAGAAAGCCTAAATTATCACTGGATAATGGCTGCGATGGAATAGAGGCGTATGTCCAAAAAAGGTTTAAAAAAAAAATTAATAAAAACGTTAGAAAAGACAGAAGTGCAGCGTCATTCCCACCGTCACCTAGAAGGCAGACAGCTGCCCTGGATTGGGGTCTAAAAACAATGAAGCTAAACATTTAATATTAACTATAAAAAAGTGCCAAATGATAAGTAAATAAAGCTGAATGGACGGACTTCTCTGACATTTGAGTGATTCTGACACAAACTACCTAACCATGCTTAAAGCTAAAAATGGCCCCGAACTGATCTGCCATTTTCAATATCAGTTGGCTTTTCACAATTATCTGTATGCAAACTGTAATTTGAAATTTGAATTCAAGTGTTTTCCTTAGTCCAAAATGCTAGGATACTGGCACTCTAAATGACTCTGGGGGGGCTTTTCCCCATTTCCTAGCCAACGCAATATGGGAGACAACGCGAAAAGGCACATTTGGCTGCAGTCAGCATCATCCCACTATAAAGAGGCAGAATCACAGCCTCCATGCTAATTACGGCAGATCAGTCGTTCTGCCAGACACGCTGTATTTTTCCCGCTAATTGGTCAAGCTGGCTGCACGTTCCCTAATTAAGCCTGAGGTTCACTGCCTCAAACGCTCGCTTTACCATGACTGGCGAGAAGTTCCTCTTTATCCAGTTTCAGTCCAACCATCACACTCGCATCCCCATGCTCACTGATCAATGAAAAACTTGTTTCAGCTCACTATTATTTTAGCCGGACTTATTTTATTTTAAAAAATCTTACCTCTGCAACGCCCTCATCTTCCGCTTTGAAGACATCTTTCCGTTTAATGGTAAACAAGTCGAGGTCTTTCTCATCTTCCTCATCGGTGACCTGCCCAAAAATGTGAATCTTGGAGTCTGGCTCGCTGTCGGACTGCTCTTCATCCTGGCTGTCAGACGGATCCTCGTCTTCCTCAGCTTTGGGCACAGACCTGAGGGCATCAGGGGCCACACCATCCTTCCCTAGCACCGAGGGAGGAAGCCTTTCTCCTCGGAGCTGAGCCCGGAAGCTCTCCAGCTCCTCGTCCTCGGGGTAGCTGCCCTGTCCTGCAGCCAGAGCTGCCTCGGTGTCTTGTCTCTGCTGCCTGGCCTTGCTCAGAAAGCGCACCCTCGGGGCCACAGCCAACCCCAGGGAGCTGCGAGGGCAACAAAAAGGAAAGAGCCATTTTCAATGGTGTGTGTTCACTGCTGGGAGAGGGGCGACGTACAGACCTGGGGGGCTACTGCTAAAACCTCCTGTAGCTCAGAAGATACCCAGCTGTTACTTAGCGAGCTGTTATTTTTCTGTCTGTGGACTTCCTGCTAGCTTTAATGAATTAGGCCATTCTCCAATGACCTCCCATTAAAAAAAGATGTATTCAAAAATATCACTGACTGGAATTTTTCTGTTCATTATAAGGTTGTCTGTAAACTCAGCAAACTGGGAAGTGCATGAAAATCCCAGGAGGGTGTTGGAAGATGCTGGAACCACCGTGTCCGGCACCAGCAATTATAAGACAGTCAGATTGTTAAGATCGGCTGTTCTAATGCGTGGCTGGTCCTTATGATCCAGTCTGTATGCTGTATGTACTCAGCTGGGAACACATGATTTACTATCAGGGCATTTGTGTCCTTAATAAACTGACAGGCAGTGTGTGCCTGTACAGACACACATACATTCACACACAGTCATGGGAAATAGAAAATACACCCTCCCTCAATTCTGTGTTGTTATTTATCAGGGCCGAAATAACAATTCTGGTCCATAAACAAACCTAACCTCGGGTGATAAAGGGTCAGATTTCAATATGTTGTCATTGTTTCCAAAAAGTAAACCAACGTTCAGAGACTACAGAAAATAAGCACATCCTTCCAACTTCCACAACAATTACAGTGTTTAGCGGCCAGGTGTTACATGATCATACAGCTTGGCTATTAACTGCATATACAATGATGTTGCAATTCCATCCAAAAGAGTCCGTATATTCAGAAATGTATTTATTGCAGATAGCAGTCTTAGCTTTCCTGTGAGATGCGAACTGAATGTTTTGATTTGAGCTGGGAATTCTGGGTTTGGGCGACGTCACAAGCTTTCACAATATTTACAACCAAGACATCTCATTACATAAGATGGGGGCAGTGGTTAGATCAAGGTCCAGTATGGACTACACAAGGGCAAATGGTAAGGAATGCAACATGACGTCAGATGCAAAGACATTTCTTTGTCCCAAATCACAATATCTATGAATAAGAAAATTTTAACCAGGTAACAAAAAAACAGTTAAGAAAATCTTGTTTATTGGTTGCAGGAAGGGTGGGGAAGACATGCAGACTTCGAGATCTAAGGCCCACTGGTCGCCCCAGTAATGCCAAGAGTCTATCGGGGGGGGGCAGTTTCAGTGCTCTTAAGTCGCAGCTGAAAAATATGATTGCTTAGAGTTGCAGAAGAAGCAGACTCAGATCCACTGGATGTCCTGGACTCGTGGGGAAAAAAAAAAAAAAAAACCCCACAGTATTTATGGCTGCTTTCCAAATAATGGCTACCCCAAGTGTCAATTTAAAAAGAAATTAAACCGCAATTACCATAAATCTACAGATATGGATTTAGCTCAATAGAACGAGCGGCCATCAAGCCGCATGCCGGGCATGAAGCGGCTGAATTTCAATGCAAATTCTGATTAGCTGAGATAGAAGCGACAGCGTCAGCAAAGTGCCAGGATAGACGTCGGAAGGTTTAGCAGATTCCCACAGAAGGATCTAATACGGCCAAAGTCATTCACGGCAATATAAGAAAAATCATAACCTCTCTACAGAGTTATCAGCGCCGAGTATAATTCCCAGGATCAAATCAAACTGGGAGGCTCACACCGTCCAGTGGGCTGCCCCATTAAAGGCTCTACCTGACTAATGTCCAGTGCTTAACCTTTCTGCTCAATTTCCACCTCACTGATGGCCCTGCCGGTGCTTCGGCTACCGAGGGAAAATGGGACAGTATCTCCTCTCTCCTGCCGTCTTGGTTGGGTGATTTGGAGAAGATTTGGAGACGTTCAAAAATGCGTTTGTGTCTGTGGGTCTTGGGGCGAAACTGGGGTCATATTGTACGTGGACGAGAGACACAGTTCTCCCCTTGAACACCATGAATATATAAGCAAATATAGAAACTTCCAGAGAATTTCTTCATGTTAGCCGTGCCAGTAGAATTACTGAAACCCACGTGAGATATTTGGGGAGAAGGGTTTTTACCATGACAGACAGCTACTGTGCAATCCATGCCAAGTCCCATATGAACCACCCATGTACATTCCCAAAGAACGTAGACATACGACCACTGCTGACATCATTCATGCTCAAAGCCAAGCTGGGCCATACTAAAAAAAAAAAGAAAAAAGTTGCACTTCTTAAAGAGTTGCACATCTCTTCCTCCCACACAGGGGAAGCACAATGATCTCTCAGAGGCACTGAGATTGCAGTATTTTTAGACCTACGCACTCCATGCACTGCATCGACACCCCCCTCCCACTAGTTTGCACGCCAAACAGAGCAGCAGAATCACGCATAGAGCCCGTCTTCAGGAGGCATCACCTCTACTAGCGACTGCTTGGCACTCGAGCGGCACAGCTTGGGGGACAAAGCGAAAGCCAGGAGAGCTCACCCTCTTCTGCCGAGATTAGCTCCGAGCTACCGGGCCCTGAAAGGGAGCCAAGGGGAACGCCCACAGACTGACTCGGCAGCTTAGCGAACGCTTGAGCGGGCGGCCCCAACTCACCCTGCGTATTCCTGTAGCGGCAGCTGAAACACGTCAAAGACGTCCTTGTTCTTCATCAGGTAGACGGAGCGGAGGTAAGAGACAAAGCACTGTGGGAAAAACAGTTCAGAGAGTGTCGACTTCAAAGCAATGTGTCCATTTCTGTTTGTCACCCATCAATTACCGATGCCCAATTTTTCGACTTCAAAAGAGGTAGAGAACAACAGAACGCTCTGGCAGGAAATTGTTCCCAATATGAAAGCGAATTTGCGGAATTCATATTTAAACCTCAATACATTTTGTTTGTGAATGTGTGCTACATTTACATAATAAACAGTTCTCTTACAAGTACAGTCAATGTAGCCTATGGCTAGAAAGCACAATGCTGCCAGACCAGGAATGCCTGGAACCCAAGGTTTGATTGACTGTCACAAATGTCAAGAAAAGAATACTATACCTTTAATTAAACACTAATGGACAGAGAATGTACTTTATGATAGCTAACTGACTTAATTGAGCTTTGCAGAGAATGTGAGAAGCTGCCCCTTAGACATCTCTTTGGCTTCCCTCGGAGCCAAAACCCATGGAAAACAAAGAGGTGATACATCAATGTAAGAGGCTCTCTTGTGTAACAAGCCTTTAATGTGTCTGTCGTTATGCTTATTTTTTTTCGTTACAGTAACAGTAAAAAGATGCAAAAGTCTCGGCACACCACCCAACGTAAGTTACAAAAAGTTTCACGTTCAATCTGTCGTAGCGATGGCTCATGTTTCCTTCACGCCCCTAGTCTACAGCTCCACGGGGTATCCAGAAAACGCGATTGTGTGTATTTTTAAGATTTTTTTTTCAGCTGGTAATTTAAAGTAAAGTGTACTTGAGAGCTGATATTTTCAGCTCCTACTACTTTTCCCTCCTTGACCAAATGAGCAATCAGACTGATGTACAGAAGAAGGACCACTTCTTCGGGCCTGTAGGAGGATGCGGAGGCGGTTTGGAACGCAGAGAAGAAAGCCTTCGACTAGGTAGCCAAGTCCTCAGAAAGTGGTTCAACTTTAAAAAAAAAAAACATATCAGATAACAGCTGAAAATAATCGTACGTCTGACTATATGCTGGTTGGCTGACTCACTTTAATGGCCTGTCAAACACAAGGTCAACAGACATTTTCTGGCCCATTTCCTGCTCTTCCTTGCATCTGAGTAACAAAGCCTATGAATCAGAATGGTGAGATGGATGGCCTGTTCAGTACAGGCAGTCCTTGGGTTATGAACTTGTGAACAACTGGTACATATGAATGGACTGCCATAAATCCTAGTATATTAAAAATTTGAGTTAAATACAAGGGATTTGCAGTAACGAACACACGCATTACTTTGTGAAACTTTTGAAAACATTGTGTGGCTTCAGCGGTTTTGTGGACTCGGGGTACAGTACTGTATGTAGTTTTATTACTGCTGCATAATTAATATTATTATTTTGTACTGTATTATAGATTTTTCCAACTTGGCCAACAAATCTGACTTAAAGACATACTCCTTAGCTGGACTTACGTCAATCCAATAGCCAGCCTATCCTGAAGCAGCAATGAGTTGGATACTCTTGTTGCCATGCCGCCCAGTACCGTTACTCCTCATAAAAGATACTCACCCTCTGAGCACGCTCTTTCTGCTCCTTTTCCTGGGCCAGGAATGCTTCGAGCTTCTGCTGGACACTGGTCATTTTTGCGGGGTTAACCCTGCAAAGAACACAAATGATCATTCCGTAAATCCTACACACAGGGAGGAAGCCGAACTCTGCATGTCCTACGGCCGCCTCACAGGATGAATGTCACCGCAAGGGGGCGGAACCTGCGAGGTTACATAAAGAGAACAACCTTTGGGTTTCCAAATCAGGACGGAACTCACAAAGGGCACCTTAGCTACAGCTTGCGTCATGCGTACTAGCATCTGAGAAACATGCCAAAGCCCCCATGAAATTCACAGCTTTCCAAATGCTGTGGATATGGTCTGATACACTCCCGAACCACTTACAATACCGAAATCTAATAATCCTGAGTATGGATGAAAGAGAAGTTAAAACTCTTACAGGATATACTGCAATCCTATTCAGAGTTCTGTCACTTGAATGAGGGACTCCTGTGCAGCTACTGACTGGTTAACAAATGGGCGTATGGACACGGCAGGCTGGTAGCCCTGCTATTTTGGAAGGCAATGCAAATTACAGCCTTTGATGAGCTGTGTGGCAAATACAGTGGTGCAAGACACAGAACAGGCTGGGGAACATCTCTGCAGACATGAAAAATGACAAGATTTCTTACCTATGCACCATGTATCCTGGTCTATAATGTGCCATTTTCACACAAAGAAACTGTACGTGTGTGTGTGTGTGGTCCCAAGACCAATTCCGTCCTCTGTGAAGTTTGAAGGTGGAGCATATGGCATTTAAAGATGTCAAATTTAAGATGTCACACAGTTGCATCTGCCAGCTGACATTTTGAACCTCGACTCTGCCGTTTCAACTGAAGTCTGACAGGGTGACAAAATTGGCACATTTACTGTGGCGAAGGAGCGTACTGACCACCCAGCACCGAATGCTACCAAAATGTCACCCCAGTGTCATCGTAGATGCTGTTCCTTCCAGCAGCACAGGAGCCCAGGTACCCAAAGGAACCCCAGGTACCCAAAGACATGTAGTCAGGCTAATTGGGGTTTCAGAATCACCCATAATGTGTCTGTGTGCCCTGTAATTGACTGTCATGCTGCACCGGTCTGAACCTCAGCCTCGCATCCCACGCTACATGGGACAGTCTCCGGGCAGCTCCACGAGCCTGAGCAGATAGTCCACGCATCTTCTAATGGCCTATTATCTGAAGAAAGCACAGGAAATGCTCATCCAGAGGATGGAACCAATGACTCATAAACCTACTCGAAACTTAAAGGTTAACAAAGCAAAACAAAAAAAAAAAAAAAAGCTTGATAAACAGTTAGCAGTTTAGAGACCCATTTGCCATAAGGAAGCTAAAAGAAGAAACTGTAGTTTTTCTCTTTTTTATTTAAATACATTGGCTAGAATGTGTTTAGTTAGACACCGTTTAGCAAATTACCCGACACACCCCGTTATATTTAGCACAGAGTAAAGCAGGATAAAGTATTACTTGCAAATTGTGAAAGCTTTGGGATACAGCCAGCAGCTACGGTAGATAGATATATAGTTAGATAGATGCTTTATTGTCATTGTAAGTACAATGAGATTTAGTTTGGAATGTGCCAGCACATGCACAGGATATTTACAATGAATTGGACAATAAGGTGTGTGTGTGCCTATATTATTTTATATAAACACACACACACACACACACAGCTCAAAAAAATTAAAGGAACACTTTTTAATCAGAGTATAGCATCGAGTCAGAGTAACTTCTGGGATATTGATCTAGTCCGTTAAGTAGCAGTGGGGGTTGTTAATCGGTTTCAGCTGCTTTGGTGTTAAAGAAGTTAGCAACAGGTGCACTAGAGGGGCAACAATGAGACAACCCCCAAAACAGGAGTGGTTTAACAGGTGGGGGCCACTGACATTTTTCCCTCCTCATCTTTTCTGACAGTTTTTTTCACTAGTTTTGCATTTGGCTACAGTCAGTGTCACTACTGGTAGCATGAGGTGATACCTGGACCCTACAGAGGTTGCACAGGTAGTCCAACTCCTCCAGGATGGTGCATCAATATGTGCCATTGCCAGAAGTTTTACTGTGTATCCCAGCTCAGACTCAAGGCCATGGAGGACATTCCAGGAGATAGGCAGTTACTTATATATATATATAAAAACTCTGAGGTTATGACAGTGCTGTATTATCTTGTGAACAAGGAAAGAGATGGAGTGCTGTGACAGATGACCTGGCCCCCACAATCCCCCCCTAACCTAAACCCTATAGTGCTGGTTTGGGATGAGTTGGATCAGAGAGTAAGAGTAAGGTAGCCAACTGGTGCCCAGAACTTGTGGAAACTCCTTCAGGACTGTTGGAGAAGCATTCCAGGTGGCTACATCTGGAAGCTGGCTCAGAGAATGCCAAGAGTCTGTGGTACTGTTTTGAAGAGTCTAGCATTTGAGAATATCTTGGTCTTTTAAATATCTGACATGTATTACTTCTTTGCCCTGAGGCCTTTTACTATAAGGTGAATAAGGGTTAAAATAGAGACAAATGCATTAAAAGTGCATGTGCAGATTTTGACTGGTCCTATACACTCACCTAAAGGATTATTAGGAACACCATACTAATAATACGGTGTTTGACCCCCTTTCGCCTTCAGAACTGCCTTAATTCTACCTGGGATTGATTCAACAAGGTGCTGAAAGCAT